GTGCTACTATAGCCTGTAACATTAATCGCCAACTAACTGGAGCTCCATGTATCCTGAATACATAACCAGTAGTAGATCGTCATCTATCTAGATCGCCCGCATAATCTGAGTCTAAAAATCCATCAATCTGACACGTATCTCCACCAAAACACAGACCTGTATCAGCGGTACCCTTCAAGTACCTCAGGACGCACTTCACAGCTTCCCAGTGCGCCTTTCCCGGATTCGCATGAACCTGCTGACCACACTAATCGTTTGTGAAATATCCGGGCGTGTACACACCATGGCGTACATCAAACTGCCAACTGCACTAGCATAAGGAAAACGCTCTATGTGTGCCTTATCTTCCGCTGTAGTGGGAGATTGTTTACCTGAAAGCCTGAAGTGTGGAGCCAGTGGAGTCGCCACCGACTTTGCACTTTGCATCCCGAACCTTACGATCACTCGCTCTATGTAGCCCTTCTGACTCAAGAACAATCGCTGATTCGCCCGCTCTCTTCTAATCTCCATACCCAGTATTTTCCTAGCAGCGCCCATGTCCTTCATCTCGAACTCTTTACCAAGTTGAGATTTTAACCTATCTATCTCCACCCTGCTCTTCAAAGCAATAATCATGTCATCCACATACAAAAAGAGATAGATATAATCACCTCCACGAAGCTTCCGAATGTAAACACAACAATCGTAATTGCTTCGGGTAAACCCATGCTTTAGCATGAAGGGGTCAAATCGCTTGTACCACTGCCGAGGAAATTGCTTCAGTCCATAGAGTGACTTCCTCAAGTGACATACATGATACTCCTTATCCTCAACCTTGTAGCCCTCAAGTTGATGCATGTAGATCTCTTCATCCAAGTCTCCGTGCAAGAATGCCATTTTAACATCGAGTTATTTCAGCTCAAGATCACCATGAGCAACAATACTCAATAGCACCCGAATAGAACTGTGTTTCACCACCGGAGAAAAGATCTCATTGTAATGCACACCCTCTCTTTGTGCAAACCCTTTAGCCACTAGCCTCACCTTGTACCTTGTACCACCGAGCTCTGAAGGATCTTCCTTTATCTTATACACCCACTTACAACCAATAGCTTTTCTTCCTACGGGTAATGGGACCACCTCCCATGTTTGGTTCTTCCGAAGAGATTCCATCTCCTCCTCCATCGTAGACAACCAACTCTCACTATCTTTGTCCCGAATAACTTCCTTGAAGGAGATCAGCTCATCTTCCTCTATCGAGAGTGCGTATTCAACCAAATTAACATATCCATAGTGCTTCAGGGGTTGATCAGTCCCTAGCTTCTGTACCTGCTTGTATGCTCGCTTTGGTCTAGTGGAAGCCAAAGTATCCTCGAGCTGCTGTTGTTGTAGTGCCTGTGTATTCTCCTGCTAAATCTCCTTCTGCTCAAGCTCATCATCTACCTGATTTCCCACTTGAACATGACTAGAACCTTGTTGGTCTTTAGGTTCTATCTCAATAACCTGGGACTTTGAAGTCCCAACAGTCCCAACACCATCATCCTTGGGCGCCCTAGCAATCATGGATTTTTCATCAAAGGTAACGTCCCTGCTAATCACAAACTTTGAATCTTCTGTACACCAAAGGCGGTAGCCTTTTACACCCTTTGCATACCCCAAGAATATCATCTTCTTGGCCCTCGCGTCAAGCTTTCCCTCGTTGACGTGATAGTAGGCGGTACATCTAAAAATTCTGAGGCTATCATAATCTGCATGTTCCCATGACCACACCCTATAGCGTGTATCACCATCCAATGTCGAATGTGAAGAACGATTCACAATATAACATGATGTAGCCACCGTTTCTGCCCACCATTCGTTGCCCAATCTAGCATAAGATCGCATACTCATTGCCTTCTCCCATAATGTTCGGTTCAGTCTCTCCGCGACCCCGTTCTGTTGTGGTGTTGACCTGACTATCCAGTGTCGAACAATACCCTCCTGATCACAGAACTTCTTGAAAGCACCATCTGTATACTCTATACCGTTGTCAGATCTTAGTGTCTTCAATTTCTTGCATGTCCTGTTCTCAACCATTGCTTTCCACTTCTTGAATGTCTCGAATACCTCATTCTTATGCTTAAAATAAATAAATCCAAGCATACCTCGAATGATTATCTATGAATGAGACAAAATACCTGGAACCACCCTTGGAAGTTGTCTGAGCCGGACCCCAAACATCTGTGTGCACATAATCTAGTATACCTCTACTCTTGTGATTGCTTTTTAAGAACTGGACCCTGTGCGCCTTTCCATACACACAATCCTCATAAAAATCCATGCAAGGTTTCTTCAGATTCTTTAGCAAACTGTGCGCCTTTCCATACACACAATCCTCATAAAAATCCATGCAAGGTTTCTTCAGATTCTTTAGCAAACACTCCTTACCAAGCAAAACTAGACCCTTCTCTGATATGTGCCCAAGCCGCCTATGCCATAACCGTGTGTGCTCATATAGGTCTTCACCACTTTCTTCAGTTCCAACCGCTGCATCTCCTGTCACCGTCGTACCCGAGAGAGTATATAGATTACCATGACGAACACCCTTCATCACTGTTAGGGAACCTTGAACAACCTTCTTTACTCCGTTCTCTGTAACAATCTTGTAGCCATCGGAGTCCAAGGCACCAACTGAGATAAGATTATTTCGCAAGTCAGGAACGTGTCGTACATCCGTTAGGGTTCTGACCACTCCATCATACATCTTGATTTTTATATCACCGAGCCCCACCGTTTTACAAGCATGGTTATTCCCCATCAATACGGTTCCACCATCAATACTCCTATAGATAGTAAACCACTTCCTATTTAGACACATGTGGTAAGAGCAACCTGAATCAAGTATCCACTTACCGGAGATATCTTCCCCACCCGTAACAACATAGCATTCTTTATCACTCCCTTCCTCTGAAGCATAACTCACTTCTTCCTTGCCTTCTCTCCTCTCAGTCTTGTTATTGTTCTTCTTTCCACCTACTCTCTTATTTGGACAGTCGACCTTGAAATGCCCAACTTCACCGCATTTGAAGCACGCTCCCGCAAGATGTCTCGATTTAGATCTAAACTTTCCTCCCTTGCCTTTTCCTCTCTCATTGCTCCTTCCTCTAGCAAACAATCCCTGCGCTTGTTCCTTGTTACCACCAATAATCATGTCATTGGTTGTAATCTTCCGAAGGTCATCCGCTAGAAGTGTCGTTCTAGTCTCATCCATTATCAAATTGTCTCCCGCAAGCATCAGTGTTTGCACCAGGTTCTCATAAGACTTCGGCAGAGATAGAAGTAGTAGAAGAGCTTGATCCTCGTCTTCTACAGTCACATCAATGTCCTTCAGGTCCGATATAATCCTATCAAACTTATTGATGTATTCTCAGATTGATGAGCCCTCATCCATCTTGCAAGTATACAATTTGGATTTCAAATAGATCTGGTTCGTTAGACTCTTCGTCATGAAGGTGCTTTCTAACTTCGATCATACGCCCGCAGCCGTTTCCTCTCCATCTACCAAGAAAGCTACATCCCTTTTAAGGTAAAGGATAATCGACGTCCGTGCTTCCAGATACAACTCCTCCCAATCCTCATCAGACATATCATTGTGCTTCTTCTCTTTTCCTGCCAAAGCTTTGTGCAATTTCTGTGAAATCAACGTGTTCTTCATCTGCATCCTCCAATAGGAAAAATCATTCTTCCCATTGAATTTTTCAATCTCGTATTTTCCCACTTTAACTGTTTTACTTATTGACGTCATTCTCCGCTTGTATTAATAAATCCGCTTCTCTCAGGAATTCCAACAAATATCTTGTGTTCACCACACAAAATCACGCACCACCTCAGATCAGAAATTCTACCACCTCCAATCTGAATAAATGGCTCTAATACCAATTGTTGGGCGCAGAGTCACGCCCACCGCCGCGGAAGCGATATCACCTGAGAGAAAGCTCTGGCTTTTGTTGTCATAAAAGCACAAGTCAACCTCTATATTCTTGTTTCTCAAAGGAAACTAGAATAGATAGTGAAATTCTTGTTTCTCAAAGGAAACTAGAATAGAAAGTGAAATATTTCAACAAAGTAAAATATGCACTCTTCCTCTCATCAGTTCTAGGACTGAAATGTCGAGGGAACCTACAAGCAATAGTCAACACCCAAAAAACAGTAAATACACGAGATTTACGTGGTTCAGTAAACTTGCCTATGTCCACGGGAGGGGTTGAGGGGAGATTCCACTATGAGAAGAACACCGACGACTTGTACAATCCACAAGCTCGTCTCAAAAAAAAGATCTGATTTTTACCCAAAAGAAATTGATATCTCTTTTTGTAAATCCATCCTTTTTCTCTCCTCAAGATCTCTCTTTAAGATCCGAAAAAAAACTCCTTTTTTCTCTAAAAAGCCCTCTGTTTTTTCTAACAGCCGGCTAAAACTCTCCTCTGCGTTTTTTTTTCAGCGCCGAGTAAACCCCTCTGTCCTCTATCCTTTCACGAAACCCTAGGAACAGGATTTATAGGAGATCATGTTGAAGGATTGGGTGGGCCGCACTGGGCTTTGCCTTCGCTCGTGGGTGTGGTCCCCCACGTTTACAAAGTTTTATAAAGGCAGACAAACAACCTCTTAGTTCTATTGGTGCACATATATATAACACCTAATGCTAATTATTTTAGCTAATTATTTTACTCTTAAAAGAGTCAAAGGAGTTCACCGAGAAGGTCTTTCCGCACATCGGCAAATACTACAAAGGATATATCCACACAAATAGGACTACAAGATGGTCTATCCGCAACTGGGGCATAGTAAAGGGGGTCTATCCCCAATTTGAAAACTAAACATCTAAAAAGTTGGAAAGTTTCTGAATTCATGCGCCTAGTCATTGGTAAAATTACCGCACTAACCACATGATGTAGCAGTTTTTTTACTAACCCTGAAAGATGCTCCAAGTAGTAAAAAGATATCTAAAACAAGCAACTGAGACACATAAAACCATCAGCTAGCTCTCTCCCTCTCTCCACTGCCTATAAATCCCCAGCTCTCCATCAATCTATCATCTTCATCCAAAGCTTTGGAGAGCTTCTGCAAAAACTACAAATCTCTCAGCAATCAAAAATGGTGGCCTCGGTAACTCGCTCCTCCCTCGACCAGAGTCGGGCCATGGCCAACCGCTGCTCTCATGGTAATTAAATACAGTGCTCAATTAATATATATGAATATCTTCGCCCTACTCTTTGTATACCATTTTTTTATATAATTCTCATTTTATCTTGAACAGAGGGAGTTATCGCTGGAGCAAAGGCAGCCATTGTTGCCAGTGTGGCGACCGCTATTCCCACTGTAAGTTTTTTTATTTTTTTTTTTAATTTTCTGTGCGGTGATATATGTAAGCAACAGATTTTCCTAATATTTGACAGTCAAAGTGCAACTATGTAAACTCTAGATCCCGATGATATGTATTCTTCACGTAAATTCAGGCTTTACAAACAACAAAATGCTTATTTCATTGATGGGCGCTCATTGTTGGAGATTTATACGTGAGTATAGTCTCACATAAAGAATTATAAAAACTGATAGATATAAGCAAGAAATTAGAATAATTAAGTTAAAGTTTAAAGTTTGTATATTGTTTAGTCCATCCACGTATGGTTAACCCACACACACCCTTAACATTGATGCGTAAAATTGCTATTAATCTGGTTAATGAACTCAGTTAAGTTTTTCATTAACATATCTTTAACTCCAAGAGGGGCCAAACTTTCCCACAAAAAATTGATATGGTTTATTTTGATTCAGTTGGCTAGTGTTCGGATGCTGCCATGGGCCAGGACCAACCTTAATCACACAGCTCAGGCTCTGATCATATCTACAGGTACTAAAAATTATTTAATTTTTCATATAGTTTAATATTTTTAGCAGTTCAAATTTGTTTAATTATTGTTGAGGTTATTTCCAATTTTGGATGCAGTTGCTGGTGCAGCATACTTCATAGTTGCAGACAAGACGGTGTTGGCCTCTGCAAGAAAGAACTCTTTCAAGAATGCTAGCTTTGCTGACATCAAAGCATGAATTTTGATGATAATAATATTTATGTTTAATCCCTTTGTTGAGTAGTTCAACAAGTTTATGTCTAATGTAATTGAGAATGTTATAATAAGAGTATGGGTTTGGTTATCACTACTGTTTTTGGCCATGGAATGCTTTGGATGCTCCCTGCCTAAGCTGGAAGTGATTGCAAAAACATGTAGGACTTGCAAACTATTATCTCTGAAATGAATTACAACTGACTTGTGATTGGAATAATGATGTCTCTAAAGCTTTGGGGAGCATCCAAATTCTAATGGAGTAGAATTTACATAGTAAGAGAACACAGAAATTATTGGGGAGAGATCGGACCTAATCGGGAGTTATTGAGTCTTAAACAGAGAATAGAGAAGAGAAACCAATTGAATCCAAAAACTTAACTACGGTGCAAACTCCTATTAACTCATCACGCTTTCTTATTCATTATAATATGCAATACTCACAAATGAATATCTGAATAATATTTTCCTTTCATTTATTATGAGTATAGCTCGAATGATGCACCTGTCATTGTCTTAGTTTGAACAAGTAATTGTGAAGAGGGCGAGATGCCTACTCACATCCATAGGATCTTCCACTATCATTTGGCTAACTGAACCATTAGTACTCCTTCGAGCAATCTCGAGCACCATATCTATCTGTAGACATCTTTGGATCTTCTTGATCTCATATATTCTTCTTACACTTTTTGGATTTCACATCGGATTTTACTTTTTCTTCGGCCACAGTCTTTACTTTGATACTACTATTGGGGAAAAAACATGTCTAGGAAGTTGTTGTGCCTTAAATAGAGACATATTAAACCTAAAAGTTTAAACTATTATGTATTTTCCCAATTGCTATTTAATCTCGCAACCTTTGTAAAACTATACCCACACGTGAATTTCCTAGAAAAAATCCCAATAGTATAAAAAGGCATGCGTATATAAGCCCATAATAGAATCATGTAGAAATGGCCAACACAGATAGGGTTGGGCATATTCGGTTCGGTTCGGTTTTATGCTCAATCCGCATCCAATCCGAATTTTTCGGATGCTCAAAACTCTCATCCAGATCTCGGTTCGGTTTTATGCTCAATCCGCATCCAATCCGAATTTTTCGGATGCTCAAAACTCTCATCCAGATCCAGATTTTTTCCCCTTCATTTTTCGGATGCTCAAAACTCTCATCCAGATCCAGATTTTTTCCCCTTCATCCGAATATTCGGCCCAACAGAAATTCGGTTCGGTTCGGTTCGGTTTCGGTTTTGAATTTGCAAAGAGTTCTATCCAATGACTTCTGTTGTGAATTTGCAAGCTGGGCATTGTCCTCATGATGAGGTTCCTGAGCTCGCCAACAAAGCTTTATTAGACTGGTTATCATCTTTAGAATAAAGTTTTGAGTTGATATAATTACGCAGAGAACTGATGTTTTAAAGATGTTGTTCATATAATACAGCATGCTTATCTCTTGTAAGTATCATGTACGTAACACATTTTGTGATTGATTTGAATCTTATGTAATTCTCAAGATCTTTTCTGCGAAAATTTTTAACTAAAGTTTAAGTTTATTTAATTACACGGGGGAGTGATGTTTTGTATGATATTGTTCATATAATGTAGCATATGCATCTTTTGTAAGTGCATCATGTGCATAACAAATTTTCTGGATTGATTTGAATCTTTACTTAGTTCTCAAGGATATTTTTCTGTGATATTGCTGTACTCATTGCTTGAAACTGCTCCTTGCGCCGTTTGAATCTATTGGATGATAACAGGAAAAGTTTTGAGGTATAAGTTTAGTCTCTAAACCGCCCAACAAAATTCGGGTCGGTTTTTTTTGGGCGGTTCAGGGGTTCAAACCGGATCCAAACCGATTTAATTCGGTTCGGGCGGTTTAGAGACTTCTTCCCATTCATTTAATTTGGTTCGGTTAACCGGTCCGTTTTTTCGGACGGTTTTTTCGGTTGAACCGGTTTTTTTTGGTTTTTGCCCACCCCTAAACACAGATTTGAAGATCAGGAAAAAAATGACTCAGGCAAGCTTTTGGACACTTGCTGGTAGACTGCGCAAATAGTAGAAATGGCCAACATAGTTTTATATCTTGTTGATTATGGGTTAGCTTCCGAGTTGCGCAAATCGTAGAGACGGGGAGACTAAAATTCCCCAACAACATTCTTGTGGTTTTCTATATCTACGTGACCACCAACAATGTGAAAGGTTGAACAGAAGAAGTCATTCACGTTCAAAAGAAGTTCTCAAGCTTGTCTAGTTAAAAGAAATTAATGCACTCAATTAATGCTTTTGGCAGCCTCATATGAATAAATTTGTGTCATAACCCATTATTAATTAGGTTTTGCTAACCATTACGGAGAGGAGAGAGAAAGAGAGAGGTGTGAGTGAAGAGAGAGAATGAGTGGCAAACCTAGGGTCCCACTCACCATTTCCTCTCTCTTTTTCTCTCCTTATTTATTGCCTTTAGGACAATTGTCAGAAAAACCCTTATTAATTAGTCACGTTCCTCCCCAAGCTAATGAGAAC